ATGTACCTTTATGTGACAGCCACAGAAAACTATGACGAATACATCACACACAATGTCAGCCCATGCACCCCGAGAACCCGCAGCGCACATGCAGCATGTGGACACGGCTACCTGAGAAGAAGAGGGCTTTGAAGCCCTTCTTGGACACGGTGTTGTCAGACTTGAATTCAATTCTCATATTGTTGAACTGGGAGGTGACCACTTCGGGCACTTCGGCTCCACAAAATCTGCCGTGCAGTTTAGACTCAGAAGAGAGGCCGCTCCAGATTTCCACATAATCATATTTGCAAACCTAGAAAAAACACTGTAGTCACCAGACTTGAAGGTATCAGATGATTGACATTTAATTTGCAAAAACTTACCATGCTTTTCCCTCCATTCCTGTGGCAGTCAAACTGGAACTAGCCGGTAAAGAAAAATCTCAAGGCAAGGGTCCAGATATGAGGCTGAAGGCATAAAAGACAGACTGGCGAAGGATTTTGTTCTGAACACCTCCAAGACACGTGTGTACAAATGCATGCTTGTTCATATGTATTTATAGCATACATCTTTTCCAAAAAACACAGTTAAGGAGAATGAGATGAATATTTGCTGTATTGATGAAGCTGATGGTCACAAGAAGAGCAGCAGCTGCTGCGTTTTTGGTGTTTTAATTAAGTTTATATTTTCACTGGGAACCATGTAAGGCATTTTCATGTACTGTCTTACCTAATGCTGACAACGATGACACGAATCAGCACATTTAGTCTGTGAAACAACCATTAGCAATAGAAGTGATCCTTTCTATTGCAAAGATGAGAAACCAAGGTTCAGAAAATTTTGTATGTGTCCAAAATTATACTAACTCCATGTGCAGTGTGGTGGTCAACAGCATGGGCTGGTCAATAGCAGAAAGTGGGCTCCGTCCAGCGCTACCTCCCCAAACACTATTCTAATCAGACCAGCACCGTGAAAGCCTTTCAAAGCGAGGCAGACACAGGTACATGATAAAAAGGACTGCTTGCCCTTCAAACTTTTCAAAATGGTCTTTCTTACTTTCTTTGAATCGTTAGGTGCTGTGAAATTTGTAGCATTACTGCAGGACGGCAAACAAAGAGGGACTGGGGGCTGTGAACAAACAGGAACAGGTCTCAGCCTCAGCGAGGCAGGGCTTTACACTACCAGGCAGCAATCTGATTCTGATTTACTCATAACCCACTACCACCACCAAAACAGAATACGTTAAGTGAATGCCAGGTATACTTAAGGAATTTTATAGCCATTAACAGATGTTTCCACAATACACTTTCCAAAAGTTTCTACAGGCCACATTCTAAAGAACACATCTTGTGTGAATGACCTTATTACATAAGTGTGTAATTAGTAAGATTTAACAATGCATATGATTAAACCCTGGGGCATGATGTGTACTTTGCAATATGTCAACTCAAATTACTCAGTCTTGTGACATTCATTAGGTGATAAAAAAGCAAAATGTTGCTAGGAAAAAAAAAAGTTTTCTGTTTACCTTGTTACATCTACCACTTTTGTTTAGAGAGGGTCTGACATAGCATAGGAGAATGCAACCAAAGCTTCAGTTGTTTGACATTGAGTTTCCATTTGGACAAATACAATAAAAAAAAATGAAGCTTTAACTCAACTCACTATGCTGGTATGTCAAGTTTCTGCTCAAGTTTCTGCTCGTGCTTTTCGTTTAAATAGCTAATGCATTAAACTATGAAAATAAACAGAATTTTGTAGCAGCCTTCCACGCAGTGACACCATTTTAAGTTTAAGAATTTTGAAACACGTTACAGAGTTCGTAAAGGGTCCTTCCAAGAATCAGAACTGCTACCATGAAAAAATGCCTTCAGAACACAAGGCTTCATTATTTTAAAATATCTACCAGACTTCCTCCTGAATATAAACTGCTACCTTCTTAGAAATATGAATCAAAATGTCGTATTTGCCACAGCTAAAAGCTTTAGGGAAAACTGAGAGAGAAGTCATTCAACCCAAAGTTCTCATCAAATCACAGAAGGATGGGGAGAGTCCCACTTTCAAAAAGTGTTGCTCACATGAAACTTTTGTAAAAACACTATAAGAATTATTTTCTCAATTCTAGCATTTTCCCAAATTTCAGACAATTTTTAAAGGAAAACAATGTTACATGTGGATAACATAGGTTAGATATGTAAATTGCAGTCTTTGCTATCATAAAATTTACATGATATAAAGAAGGTCTCAGAAGATCTGGTAACTCTAAAATTCTACAATTCTCTTAAATACATAAGCTCATCACATTTCAGACTTTAATTTCCTTTAAGGAAACCTAATAGTCAGCACCTTCTTTATACCTCTAAGTCATTAGTAAGAGACTAAAAAATGCACAGTAATGCCTTGACAACTATTACCAGGCAGAATTAAGAGAAAAAAAGTAATTGAAGAGAAAGAAGGAAAAGTGGGAGGGGGAAATAAAGAAGCAAAGATACATATGCAAAAAAGAAGTTACAGTGTAAAACCCACAAATGTTACCAATGATTATTGACCAGGAGCATAGTAGCAGATCATTACATTTCTGTTCCCTCACTTCTTTGTAAGTATGCAACAGATACACATCAAAAACAACAATTGTTCTGAGTTCATTTTATGCTTAAAACTTTTGATTATATTTTAAAATAAATATGGAAAAAGAAAAGTAGAGAGAGAAGATATGGGAGAAAAGAAAAAGGAAATGAAACAAAGAAGAAAACTCAGCCAAATCAAGTATTTGTCAACACTTGTCTGTAATTAAACCAATGTTGAACAGTTGTATGAAGGACACATTTCTGGGCTTGGCATTGCATCTGAATTTAGTGTGTGTGCACTAGCATGTAGGACCTCTCAAAAATTGGATCTTCACTACAATAAACTATGTTTTGTAAAGGAAAGATGGTGTCAACTAAGTGCGTATTTTATTGAGGTTAAAAAATTCATCTTTATTTCCGAATCATTAGCACATTCATCATGAAAAACTACTTATTAATGAAAATATTCTGATTACCACAAAAAAAAATGTCTGCACAGGTATTTCTGTTATGACTCAAGCAGTGGATTTAGGTTTATTTTTCCTAGAAAAGTCTATGTGACATGAGTCCAACCCTGATTTTTTCATAGCTCTTTAATACATCAAGAAAATGCTGTATATTAACACAGTAGGTAGAAACTCCTTCTGAGTAGTTTCAATCTCCCAGGCACTGCCTAAAATACCATCCAGTGCCAATTGGAAGTACTGGCAGTTGCAGAAATGGGCAGCAGAGCATGAAGTCTCCACTCCTCCTTCTCTCCTTCCTTTCCTTTACCAGTTTGTCTTCAGGGGTTCCCAAAACATCATAGAAAAAATTACACTTATTGTTCACTTACTTCGTTGCCCTCCAGCTCGAAGAACTCAAACTGCACAGAAATCCTGTACTGGGTTGGCGCGACCACCTGCCACACGCAGTTTTTGTTCGGAGGGTACTCCCTGGGCCAGCCTGGGCTGGTGATGGTGCCATTGAGCTTGCTGAGAAGTCCACCACAAGCCGCTGCAGGAAGAAAATGGCAAGGTCTCCTCATAAGGTATCCCCTTCTTAGCCCCTTGCCACCCATAACAAAACACCTTGGCATTTAAAATCTAGAAAGCTGTGGGCTGTTCAAATATTTTCATCTCTGAATCCCAATGGCAAAGTATTATTTTTATGTGCCTGGAGCCAACCAAACTATGGCTGTAGTTTACAAGTGGGCAAGCAATACAAACAAAACTGTCAGTTTTCTGATCTTTTAAATGGGCACAATACCGACACCGTAGGTTGTTGTGAGAATAAATAAGATATATGTAAAGCACAAGACAGGCTGATGCAGTTATGACCAAAATAGACAATTTCCTCAACTCTTTTTCAAGACAAGCAACTCTTACAAAGTTACCTGAGCTAAGGAGCAAGAAAACTATACGAAATAGAGCATATTTACTATTCCCCAAACTCTAATTAACAACTGGTTTTCTTTCCTTTTTTGGATGATCTATGTATAAGAGGTACTATTTGCATTTCCTCTCTTCCTTACTGAAAGTGAAATTAGCAAAAGCAGAGTATTCAAAAGCAAGTTAGGTGAAAAGAACATGTATTGTACACAGTTCAAACTTATTTGTAAGGAGACAAGAGTTACCTAAAGTAACCAGTCTTTTTACTTTGATTGCCTTTGTGTATACATATTTATGTACATATATCCATTATATTTGCCAATATATATATATATATACACATGTTTAATATATTTTTTAAAAACCTATGCTTCCATGTTTACCACATTTTGGTAAATTTTTATTAAGTAAAATACAAATTGTTAGGAGCCACACATAAATAATAGTCATGTTACTTTATTATTGTCACATAAATCATGTCCTCTGTTTCAAAGATACTGCATTTTCCTCAAAAATTAGTTCATTTTACTCTACCATACGGAGCAACTTAATAGATTAATAGTATGGAGACTTTTACATAACAGAGAAGTTGAAGTTTTTAAGAAGAAACGGGGCAGTCTGTTTTTTTAATAGATCAGCACAGGTGTGGTATTCAATCATTATGCAAATAATTGTGCCACTATTACGTCCTCTGTTACAGATACAGTAGGGAACAAGGCACTCATTTTTAGGGAGTTTATATTTTTGTGGGAAACACAAAAGTAAACTTAATAAGTATAAAAATATAAATAATGTTAAACTGATAAAAGTTCTATGAAGATGATTTTGGCAGAAATTTTCAGAGTGCAATGAAGGAGGAAAGGTCTGACAGAAGGAAGATCAACCCACTTATTTTGTCTATGATTTGGGTAACTGGGTGGAGCCGGGAAATGGAAAAGGATCAGCTGTAAATCCTGAAGGAAGAGGCCACAGGGCATGATAACAAACATCGCACAGGAAATTTCATCTTAGAATGTGCAGAGGAAATACAGAAAATGTGACAAGATGTCTTTGTTTATTTATCTTTTATTAATAAAGCACATTTAGCTCCTGCTTTATGTCTGCTGTGCCTGATGATGGAGATAAAAAAGAGATTCAGATTCAGAGCTCTGCCCTCTATAAGGGACACATGCCCATGAATTATGACAAAGATCAAAACAAGTGATGGACAGAAGTTTAGGTATGGCCAGAGATTAAAATATAGCTATTGTATATTATAGTACATAAATCTATGCTCTCCATATCTATATATCTAATATATATTAGTCTAACATATCTAATATAATAAATCTATATCTAACATATCTATATATAAAGTGTATATATATATATAAGTATATAAAGGAGAATGTGGAGATATAAAAGGTAGTTGTAGTTGTGAACGAGGTGGCCAGGAGCCCAGGGCGGACACGATGGCTCCTGGAACTAGAGCCTAGGCAGGCTTTGGCTTTCAGTAAGACTGCAATGAGCCCTACTTGTTGAGGTTACTGCAGAGGAAGAAGGGAGGGAGCAGGAGAGGGAGAGGCCAGGACCAGGTTAAGGGCAGAGGGGGCCGGGGAGGCCCTTGCACAGACCGGCTACCTTCGCAGCTCCTCCTGTCGGGGCCCAGCTCATAGCCCGGCTCGCACGCGCATGTGTAGCTGCCCAGTGTGTTCAGACACCGCTGCTCACAGCCCCCACGGTCGGGTTTGGCACACTCGTCTTCCTCTAGAAAGATGGCAGCAGTCAGGACATGGAGGATTTGTTCTCGCGCACTAAGGTGCACCGTATCTGATAACACGATGCTCAGTTGCTCTGAATGAAACCGGAAGGACAAGCGCGAGGACAATGAGCAGCTGTGATGGGGACACAGAAATTCATGGCACCGCGAGGATCTAAGAACTGGGGAAGAATCAAGAGAGCAACTCGAAATCTACAGCTGAAGGTCACCTTACTGCAGACACGTGTGTTTTTACTGAATTTGAAGTCAAAGGGGTAATTAAAACCCAGAGATTTTCCAGAACAAACACAAAAACTTACGGAAAAAACATAGCTTCATAGTTGATTTCACAGTATAGTTCACTAAATATCTGAAAAATGCTTTTAAAGAAACTTCATTATTAAGAAATAGATGATGGTGAATATAAACTAAAAAGAAAGGAAACTCAGAAACTTACTGGACCTCTTCAAATTTGAAGCATTCAGTGTTTTTATACAGACATGTTGAGCCAAAAATTACAGTAATTTTATACTTTTGTAAACACATTTTGCTATTTTAAATGAACTATGCTATTTTATTTGTATATGGAAACTTGAAAAATGTACAGATATAAAAATAAATATGAACATAAATTGTATAAACATAAATTATATATAATAAATCATATAAAGCAAACATATAAAAATATATACTATTTTTAAAAAAACATATATGGTGAGGTACTCCATAATCCCAATCTTCAGGAATGACCTATTGTGAGTTAGGAAAATAGCAAACAATATTCACTAGAGAAATTATGCATCAGAAACACACTAAACATTTGTGATAACCAAATATACAAACATTGCATGACAGAATGTTAATAGGTTTCTTTTACTGTAAAATATAACACACACAGGAGACTTTAAGCAAATGTGCATCTTAATAAATACTTCGAATTCATAGTCAAAGTGCAAGGATCTCTGTATTGGGCTGCATGGTGAACACCTCAGTAATTCTCAGGGAAGAGCCTTTATACTTGTTCCTTCAACAGTGAACACATCTAGCCACCAATCACAGTGTTGACAAGTACAACTTAGAGAAAATTTTGTTCTCCTTCCCATAAAAGAATTGTATTCCACAATGACTCACTTAACATAATTACTAGATGCTTACTTTATCATGTTAGGTGTCAGAATACTCTGCTAAGGAGGCCATAAATTATTTCTGGTGAGGTGGAATGCTACTGTCTAAGGGATGGTTCAGAAATACTGCCACCTAGAAATAAATTGAACTACATGTCAGGAAGCCCCTCCTGGTTATGAATCCTTTGCCAGTTATATTTTTTTGTGTATCCCTTTCTGGATTTTGCTATTTTGACTATTTAATTAAAAAAAAATGGCAGATGGAGTTCCTACCTTGCACAACAAAGTTCTAAATTCTAGTATTTGGCCAATAACCTTTTCCATCAAAGCCCATCAAAATGTCCTTATGAGCAGTGCATATATCAACCTTTAATATAATTTAACTCTAGTTCTCCCCTGACTCACAGCTTCATCCACATTTATCCCTGACAGAGGAAAAACCTCACACTTAAAATTACTTCAAGTTACCTTTAAAGAAGTTGGCAGCGAATCCTGCCTTGTTCACAGTTCCATCAGAAACAAACTTCATCCACAAGGTATTGGAGGTTGATGTGACATCTTCAGGCTTATCATAGCCGCAGAAACGCCCCACTAAAGGGCTGTGCTCACTGCTTCCGTCTCGAACCTCAAGGAAGTCGTACGCACAGTTGTCATGCCTTTCAATCTGCAGCAGAGGAAATGTGTGGGAATATATCTCATTCACAGATAAAATAATCTCTATAGAGAAAGTGCTGTGCATTTTTAGTGCCATGGTACTGACAAGGTCATACTACAAATTGTATATACAAATGAGGGCACCGCTCCTTAGTGTACACAGTAGTATCTACAGAGCCCATGAATAAAGGTGTATAATTCTGGTAGACAGAGAGAAAGATGAGGAAAATCTATGCAACAGTGCATCCACGTGAATCAAGACTGACAGAAGTTAATTGCCTTTTAAGAGAAAGTTAAAAGGACAGCTCGTAATTCTTTGGGAAAATAAAGCTTTAAAAAAAATCTAGACTTGAAGTTATCATGGAAAATCTGGGCCAGATATGCTATTAGCAATGTGTAATTTGTTCTGAAACACAGTTATAAAAACTGCTCATAGTTCATCAACAAAACCATTATTTTATTCTTAGAGAAGCTGGATTCAGATTCTATTGGGAAATAGTGCACTCTTTAGATGATAAATCTCTTTTCTGAAGAGCAACCTGATAACATGGGATCACATTTCTTTCCAGGCTATGAGTCTTCACCCTGAGATAGCACAGCCGATGTGGAACGACTACAGCCCGGGCGGGGGCCACACTGGCTGCCCCTTCCCCAGAGTAATGTGGCTTGTTGAGATGGTCCCTTTAATGTCAAAACAGTCCTCTCAACCCATAAACCTGGAGGAACTCAATCTCTTTCCTCTAACAACTAAGTGCGAATGTCAGCTATGACCACTGACCTAAAAATCCTTATGAAGAATGGATGTTCATGGACCTATGCTTTAGCCCTGAACTTCTAAAAACAACAAACCAAATTTACAAATTGTTTTAGATTAAAAATTACAAGACAATTTCTAAATAAAATCTTGCTTTTAATTTTTTTCATAGAAAATGGGCACTGGCTCTAAAGTCTTAAGAGACTCAATGGCTCTTTACATATTCAGAGCAAGGAAGTACACAGGCCTGTAACTGACGACCCATGGAAAGTATTACATCTGTCGACTAGTGCTCAACACACAGTTCACCAATTAATGGACTTCTCCTACAAAATGAATGTGAGGAATATGTTCATTCCTTGGAACCACACCTGAATGCAGGAACCTCCTGGTGTGGCGGCTGAAGGATCCATTTTCCAGTTCATTGATACATTGCCAGTGATAGTCTATGAATTGGGCAGCATATGGACAAACAGAAAAACTAGATTTCGAAGCACAGATTTGGGTGCTCCAAGTACCACATCTGTGGCTTCCCTTTCCCCAGCCATGGGCCCGGGTTCGCCTGTTTGCTCCCACAAATCCAGGACCTATTCCATGCGGGCTCCCCTCCCTGTCCACCGGCATCTCTCAGTGAGATGACAGAACCTCACCACCTGGGGCTTATTGCTGGTGGGCAGACAGCCAAGGAACAATGAGCAGGACAGATAACCAAATCATACATATTATAAAGAAAATTCTATGGGAAAATATAAAGTGAAACACGGTGAGGATGGGGTGAAAGCTGGTATTTGGGATTACTCCATCAGCAGGTGCTTGTGAGTTTGATTCATAAATCCAGCTTGTTTCCCCAAAGATCTATTCTCTTCACGTGGAATTATGAGAAAGGATGGGGAAATACTATAAAGAATATCTCAGTTTTAGAGCACATTTTTAAGACTGGCTGTTCAAACAGAGAGATGGTAAGGGGCTGCTACCAGAGATGACAGGGAACAGGCAGTGCCCAGGATGGAAGGCCATCGGCCAACTACAGGCATGGCCCTTCTCAAGTCTCTAAGACGTGCCCTTCAGAATCAGCCTTCTCCATGAACATGAGGCCATTTCCAGGTGACCGAAGGCCATTCCTCAGCCAAGGGGACACATAACGTAAGAGCTGAACTCTCAAGGTATGGAGCTTGACAATGAACCAGGAACACTGAACAAGGGACACAGCTGCAGGAAGTGACCAAAGGTCTCAGCAAGCCCCCTGCCTGCACCCCAGAGGGACCCCTCCTGACTCAGGGGTCGTGTTGGGAGAAAGAGGGAGGAGAGAGCTGGCTCAGAAGAGGAAAGGAAGTGAGGACACGCGATGAAAAAGCAAAATAACATTGCTTCCTGTGAGAACCAGTGCTAGAGTGGGAGAAAAAGATGAATTAAAGCATTTTATTTACCATTTAGAGAAGATTACTGCTTTCAAAAATGACAATACTAACAAGGACGAAAACAAGACATTACTGAAAAGAAACAAAAACACGTGTGTTTGTTCAGTGATTGAAAAGAAATAGTATAATGGATATTTCCAACTATATAACACTCACTTTTTTTAAGATACATAAAAGATTTCTTTAAATTTTAATATATAGTATAATCACTGGTGACTTAGTAAAAAATAAGAGGGTTAAATATTTTAAATGATACACAAAGCATAAATATTGCACCAGTAAAATGCATAAAAATGACTGATTTTAGGATTAATTGTACCAGTACCTATTTTTGCACCACGTAGTTCTTATATAGTAAGTATGGCAAGCACACATCAAAATTTATGTCATTTGTGTAACATTTTCTACAGCTATGTCAATTACTTTATCAATTAATACATAGCATAGATAATAATAAATATGGTTGAAGCTATAAAGTAGGTAAGTTCATTGATACTATGTCAGGAACTGTAAGCTTCATGAGAAAAAGAACACCAAAGTCAGCGATTTATAAAAAAAAAAAAAAAGAAGGAAAGAAGGAAGAAAGGGAGGGAAGGACAAGGAGCAGGTTCTTCGTGAGTTAAGCATGGACACAGTTCATAGACCTGGGGCCTGCCTGAGCGGCAATGCGCAGCTACACACGCAACAAATATGTTTTGATAATGATGATGCTGATTTTTCACAACCTTTAAGGTAACCAGAGCACAAACATAAACACATGTGGCAAGTTCATCACAATGTAGTCAGACCTAATCGGTACATAGAGAATACGATGAAAGTGATAGTAAGCTCTGAGGTTTTTTAGGAAACTGATACTTAAATGAAATTAGGAGTAGGAACAAATACAGCCAAGGCAGAGGACAAGTACAAAGACTGGCCAGCAGGGATCACTGTCAGATCTCCTTACTACGTGGGGCTCGTGCCTTTCCTGGCAGGTTAGAAGGAAGCCCAGGAAAGCTGGTGAGTTTACTTAGCAAAAACTAAAATCAATTCAGTGTAACCAAATTGGTCAGCCTCCCATTCTGAAGCTGACAACGGTGCAGAGCTTTGCTGTGGGTGCATGCAGGCGAGCTGGCCCTGAAGGGGAGCCAGTCTGGAGGGGCCCCATGCACGCACTGTCTTCATCCAACAGCCAGACTTCCAAATGAATGTAATGTTGAAAGCACCACTGAGGTACCTTGCTATTTGTGAAAAGCTCTGAACACCCAGAATTTCTGGTAATAGTTTCAATGAAACACTCTCATTTTTTCTGAAGGGCTGGGAACAGAATCACTGTGTCATTCAGCAATCCCACTTCCAGGAACATACCCCCAAAACTAAGAGTAGGGCCTAGAAGAAGAATTTGTGCACTTAGTCTATGTTCCTGCCACAACGTTCACAATAGTCAAGGTAGGAGAAAACCAGACGTCCAGCAGTGGAGGACTGACAAACATATGGAGTATTTATTCAGCCTCAACAGGAAGGGGAGCTACCAGTATGGGCCACAGTGTGGATGAACCACGAGTCAACTAAGTGGACAAGCCAGTCACAAAAGGGCACATCCTGCACTACCCTACTTACAGGAGGAATCTAGAGTCCACTTCATAGGGTCAGAAAGCAGAAGAGCCATTGCAGGGGTTGGAGAGGGCTGAATAAGGAGTTAGCGCTTACTGGGTATAGTTTCAGGTTTGCAGGACGCAGAGAGCTCTGGAGAAGGTGCTGGTAATGGCTGACAGCGATGTGAATGCATTGGACACACTGAACTGTGCATTTAACAAGTGGTTCAGATGGTGAGTTTTATATCTGGTTTACTATGAATAATTTTGCCTCTCCTGTGTTTGAATGTAATTTCAAAATATAATTAATGCAATAAACTACACAAATGATTAAACATTTTTAGATAATATAAGTAAAAATCATCTATACTTGGAACAAGGCTTAGGTCAGTATTTTTTGCTTTGGGGAAGAAGTCAAAGAAAAACATGACTAATAAAAACAATGTAGAATAGCATTTTATTGCTAAAAATAAATAATTTTAATAATGGAAAAAATCTAGTGACATCTGAGAAATAATACTACTAAAAAGCTTTTTTGAATAAAAAGCACGATGGCTTAATAACATATTCTTTTTAAATTTACTATATCACATTTGACATTTTATTATTTAAGGATATTTTAGTTACTATTTAATATTTAATTAATATTAATGTATAGATAATTACAGTTCAAAAATGGAGGAGTAAAAAACAAAAATGCTCAACCGCATGAAAAATCAAGATCATGACTCTGGGTTGGGTCTATTTTCATGCGATTCAGGTTTTTAAATGCTGCCACTTGACTTATTTTTCCTTCATGACAATTATTTTTAACTCACTCATAAATTTAACGAACGTTTATTAAAAGCCTACTATGGCCAGATAATACACACTGGCAGTTTTAAACAGTGGTGAGTAACAGACACGTTTCTGACCAGCAGGCATTGATCAAGCAGCACAATGTACAAGTAAAGGCAGTGATGACGGGAAAGGGCGGGACGCCATAGAGGGTGCAGATGCCTGCGCTCCCAGGACCGGGGCACAGGGGTGCACAGGCCTTAATGGTGTCACTCACATGCTGCCCACTATGAATTGTGTGGGTTTGTGTAAGTTTAAACAAACACACACTAATCATTCAGAGTAGAATTATAGCCTAATTCTGAAGAGCTACTTAAATGCTTTTGCAGTCATGAATATGAGTATATAAGAATATAAGAATGAATATAGAACATCCAGTCTTAGCCAAACATTCAAAAATAGTACACGGCAAGCATAACAATGCAAACTAATTACCATCTCCTCCTTATCTTGGCTTCCTAGCTAATTCACAAAGTCTAGTCTACTCAGTTCACACCCATAAAATATTCAAAGGAGGGGAAGATTGTTTTTAGTCAGGCAATCCTCAAAGTGTGCAGATAAGCACCTTGAACACAGTCCAGAACGTTGCAGCTTGTGGTGAGGACGGGGGAGACCATACTTTACAGAAGGGAAGCTCCACCTTCAGAGAGTGCAGACTGTTGGCAAGTACCTCGGACCAAACCCGCTTAAATTCCCGTGTGTGGGGATGTCAACACCAACTTAATGAGCTCTGGGTTTACTTTACTTTTTTTCTGCTTTATTGACATTTCTTTGGTTATTCCTATAAGCACTTCCAGTCTCCCACCTGCCCTCCTCCGTATTCCTGCATACTGAAAGGGCTTATGTGGAATAGTGGCACAGAGGCTTCCTAACCAATAGCACTGCTGCAGAACAGAAGACAGGTGCCCCAAACTGGCCTTGGATGCAAGCTGCTTTCGTGTGCAAACTCACCTCAGTCCTGGTCTTAAGAAGCAATGCCCAGTCACTACTAGGGAAGGAAAGGCTCCCCAAAGAGTGTGATTAGGGAAGCATCAGGCCCCAATTGCCTTTCAAATCATGTCCTTTCTGCTCCAACATCAAAGACCCCTGAAATTCATTAACAAAGGCACTTGTGCAGATTTTCTTTCAGTATTTACATTTAAATCTAAGTAGCATTAGGAGAAGTAAATCATGACAAATTCATAGAAAGATATGAATAATGGACACCTAGTAAATTCTTTATATGGTAGGTCTCAACAGAATAATGGACAGTTGATCTTAAGAGCCCCTTTTATTGAAAGGGCACAGAGCAACACAGAGAATAAAAAAGTTACAAAGGTAGAAGCAGTTTTTGAAAAAAGATAAAGGCTGTCATCAGTGAATAAAAACTGTTTTCAGACAAAACCACATACACTGCGAATCAGTGAGGACTTCCTTTTTTAACTTAAATGCATAAGCTGTATATTGAAAATATATTGTGAAAAAATAGGTATAAACAGATAACTGACTAAATGAAACAAGTCACCTAGTGGCCACCAGAATGAATTTAAAAAGACATACACTCACTCTCAGTATTAGGGGTATTAAATTCCCTGAAGCTGCTGAAAACACTGAATTAGTGAATACCATTTCACTGTTCCTGGGGAAGTACAGGATTAGCTTTCTGCAATTTTCTGGTCACAGAATTCTTGTAGACCAATCCATACATAATCTTATTTTGTGTGTGTTTCTGTCAAAGACTCCTTAATATATGTTGTCAGTTCATTAACAGAACTCACAGCTCACTGCGCTGAAATGCACCCCTGTATGATATCATCCGACACACGCGCGCGCTCTATCGGGCACATCACAGCTGAGAGGTGATGACAGATGACTCGAACACTTCACAGCCCTGAGCCTGTCTGTGAACGAACCAGAGAGCACGGTGAGTACTGATTTGGGGTCTCCAGTTAAATGTTAGTGGGGAGGAATATTTGGAAATGCAGAATCTGCAAACAAGGAAGATGGACTGTCCGTGGGTTTGGGTGCTGGTTTCGTGCTCATTTGTGTGAACTAGGTTAATGGCACGAGTTTAGCTCCGTGATGCAGATTTAGATGTTGTTTTAGGGTGCTTTAAATTTCTTGTCACTTCTCAATTTCTTACAGTCCAAGATCTCTAGTCGAAATTCAGATATACTGCATTCCAGGCTCTCCAACTCCTTACCTACGTAGCCTTGCTTCTGTTTGCCTGGAAAAGTTCATAAACAAAGGACACATTGGCTTCCACTCACCAGTCATCATGCACTTGCACACATACAATCCATCCATCCTTCCCTCGCATCATCAAATTTTAACATGCATTCAGTGGTGTTGGAGACACAGGGGCCAGAAGACAGGCAAGAGCCTTACCCTGTCATGACTGCATCTTAGTGAGAGAGACAGACAGTAACTACATAAACAAACAGATCCATGGCATAATTTCCCGTAGCTGTAAGTGCAATGGGTTAAAATAAAACAGAACAAGGTTTATAGACAATGATAGGGAGGAAAACATTTTAAACAGTTACTAGGCAAGGAGTCTGTGAGGGGGTGACAATCAAGCAGGGTTTCAATGAAACACAAGGAATGAAAGCCAAGATCTGGAGGAAGAGGGGAGTCAGTGTCATGTGCTGTGATGGGGGATGTAAATCCCACATTTTTGGGAAGGGAAAGATCAGAGGGGCTGCTGTAGAGAGGGTGAGAGTGAGCTCAGGACTGTGGTGGACTGCCTGGGTCAGTGACCATTGCGTCTGGGTTTTATTTTAGAAGTGAGGGAGCCCCCGGGATAAGTTAAGTGGAGTCATGCTTCAGTCTAACTGACGCTGGCAAAGGCCCACTCCGGCTGCTGTGCAGATGTCAAGGTGTGAGGGCGAGGAGCGGGGACGGACACTCACAGAGTTCCAAGAGGAGCAGGAGTGAGAAGGGGGCAGCGGCCAGAAGGAAGGCATAAAACGGTCAGATTCTGAAGACAAAGCGAATGGTATATGCTGACAGATTCACCTCAGGGTTGCAGAGAAAAGTGGAATTAGGGATATTCCCCGAGCAACTAGTGACACACTGAATACCCAACAGTGAATCGTGTAACAGTAAATACTGAAACAGGGAAGATAGAAGCAGGGGGGTTAGTTAGTTAAGATGACAATCAAAGGTTTGGTTTTAGTCGTTCAAACATGGGTGCCTATCAGGCATCCAAAAATGTCCAGAATATAAATGCAGGAGGAAGAAACATTAGGAAAGAAAGCAAAATGAGAAAGGGCAGGAAATAAAGATAATCAATAAATGCAGCCAAACTATGACCCAATGTCTCCTCCATCCCAAAGCTTAGTCAGAATCATCCGTTTACTCAACCAACAGCATTTATCCAGTGATGGCTCTGTGCCAGGCATGGTTCCAAGTGCTAAAGATGAAAATCTTTCCCATGTGTCCTTACACTCTCGTATTTTTGTCCTTTCAATCTTACTATTTTGATATTTCAAAAACAAACAGAAACACTGCAAACCAACTAGCCAGCCATTTCCACATCTCAGGAATTATATCTCTGTTTCTTAGATGCATGGAATTTGGTTTTAGATAATTCTCTGACATCACTTCTGTGATGGGAGAATTTCATAATATTTGATTAATTATTGAAAGGCAGTTTATCTCTTCATTTTTGCAACATCACAAAATACAACTAATAAATAATTTTGCAATGAACCAATTGTTTTGATCCAAAGAGTGGGTGAATCCTATCTAATTTTAGTTTCTGTTAACAACAAAGTGGCCCCTTTGAATAATGTTTACAATCTTCTTGTTCCATTGAAATAACAAAATTCAAGTGTGAATCAGTCTCAGAGTCAAGGTTTCCAAAAAATGTAAAATGGTCAGGAGCATAAAATACCACATGTGATCACAGCTGAAAAGATAATTTTTTTCATGACACAAGGAAACATGTCTGGGAAGCTAAATGGTATGTACAAAGGGGGAGACCTAAGTACCAAAAAATTATACTACTCAGCTTACAGGTGGGAGCATGAGGTTATCTGGGCTGGTGGGTGAGGCCTGGGTTCCCCTTACTTTTGTGGGGACAGACCCCACCATGGTCACTGCACTGAGTGGTAAGGATAGCCCGGCAGTAAATGAGGCTCCCTACTGCCTTCTGACTGGGACAGCGAATCAGCTTCTTGTTGGGAAGAGAGAACACCTTCCCATCACAACATCTGGGTCTGTAAGCCCTGTGGACCTACCACCACCATCTCATCATCCCTCCACCTTGGACTTTCAATCTCAAGACTGGTTCTTGGACTTAGACTCAGGGTTCCTGACACACTCCCATCTCCTCTCAAATCCCTAACAGCTCCTCCTGCCCCCTGAAAATGACTCATCAGCCAGCATGGTGGTTTAGACGTGACTTTGCTCAGACTGCCGACCGGCCTTTGGTTTATTCTGTCCTGGTCTCACCACATAGTCAAAAGCTCCTAAGAACATGTACATCTCTATTTCTGACATAAACAATTTTTTGCATAATGGTAGAGATGAAAAATGGATTTACCCCCAACAGAAACAGTCTACCTTTCCCCCTAACAGAAACAGACAGTCTGCCTTTTAACTCTCAGTTTAGAAGAGAAATAAAAGTTCTGTTATTTAATGGGCCCTTCAAGCAGTCTCGTAAAACAAACAACCCTGTGCATTTGTCAAGAGGAGCTGCTGTCAGTAGCTCAAATGTTCCGATTCAAATGGCACAGACAACATAAACGCACTTTAACCTGCTCAAAAACGTCTGCAATAAGAGAAAAAGAAGAGAAAAATCTCTTTGACTCTCACATTACATTTTATGGGCAATTCTGCTTCTTCGCTGACTGTAAAGCTGATTTGGTTCTGTTCTTTGCTTATTTAATAAGGATCCCCTTAAATGCCATTGCCATTTGTGAAGGACATGCTCCTTGAAGTTTGCCCAAAAGACGTTACCTCAAAGGCCTGAAAGGTCAAACCCACGTGGTAGTCCTCAGACACTGTTATCTGCCACACACACTCTTTCATTGGCCTGTAGTCATCGGGATAATTGGGAGACTGGATCTGTCCTTCATTTTTACGTATCTCACCTCCACAGATTGCTGGGGAGAGCAAAAACACACAAATAAACAGAGACAAGCCATTTACTTCTTAGGGAGCATTTTAGATCAGCACCTGTATAGATGAGCACATAAAGGCCGGCTCCAAAAACCGAAGTTGGCTCGTTGCACTGTTGCGAATATTTTGATGGCAAAACCTTGTCACTTAACTATACACCCTGGATTAAAGTTAGCTCAGGAATATATAATTTTTTGTCATGGTTAATTCACATCTTTACATGAAAAGAGCATTTTTTAAAAATATTTTAAACCTTTTGAGATTTCATAAATTTATTGTATGTAATTTTGTTCTATGGTTCCCGGAACTGCTTCTCTTGGTCCTTTGACCTCAGGGATGCTAGCTGACAAGGAGAGAAGCCCACTGGGCCCCCTGGCCCTCCAGCAGTAGGTCACCATCCCGTATGCAACATCCGTGGCCCCATCCAAGTAATCCTCTTCACTGCCATTCAGTTAACCTTTAAAACAAAATGCTTCCACTTCCTTAAGAGTTTAAGGGAAGCAGAAATCTGTCTTCTAAATCACCTCAACTCCTCTGCTAGCAGAGGCAGGAGCAACAAGGCTCTCCTCTACCCATGACCTGGTAAGAAGGAAACTGCTTTAAAGCCAGGGAGCACAAGGCCAGTTTATTGCTTTAGGGACATCCAGGTCAAAGCATCTCGCAAATTTTTTCTTGAATGCTGACTGGCTCATTTCGACAAAGCATGCTTCAGAAATGTACACAATTACGTTCTATGTGATTTCCTAGAACAGAGCATTTCAGCAGTGCAAGCTCCAAGCAAGAATAAATCAGTACAAAGGAAAACAGTCATTTCTTCATAATGTTTTAATATTATGGAAAGACAATTGAAGTCAAGAATTCTTGTGCATTTGCTGTTATTTCCCTACACATTCCCAAGCACATTTATATATTAACTGCATGGTCACTGGTACCATAAAGCAGGTTGTTCTTGCCTTTCCATTTATAGAGGATTTTTTGAAAATCGTCTTTAAAACCATACAGCACAGGTTTAAAAATCTTTATAATTAAATATGATTACAATAACATTCTAATGAACCTGAGAGGAAAGAAAGATGTTTCTGTTAAGAATCTAAGAGGATATAATGTCTAAAACTCAGTGACTTGCCTTCATAGACAGCTGCAAAGCCTTTTCCCACCCAGTTGCTGCTGCTACGAAACTCAATCCACATTCTGCTGTCTGTGGAGGTAAGAGCTTCAGGCAATTTGTCCCCACAGAATCTACCTAAAGGAAAAGAATAAAGAGAGACTCCTAAATATTATCCTACATTCAGATTGCTTCCACACTCGCTACAATTATATATATAACCTGATTTGGCTCCTCTCTCTAGCCACAGTAACTAGAGTCATAGCCATGCCTTTTACTTACTTAGTAAAGGTGGATTAATAGATCAGTCTCTTCACACCCATTTGTAAAATATTGGAGCACATTGCTCTCAGATTAGCTAGCTGGTGATGCTGTCATCATCCATGGAATTAAGAAACAGTCAGCTCAAAAGACATTTGTGAAAGGCCACGTGATACCCCTCTGTGGGAAATCCTCCCCTCCAGAGCAGGAGAAAGCCCACTGATCCTGAGCGGGGTCCTGTTGTCAGCCTGGCCAGTAGCAGGGGAGGAGCTCTGCCTGGGCTCAAACACAGCCTGCGTCCTGCCCCCACGCAGACCCTTAGGGATGCCACGGCCGCTTGGAGGATCTTCCACTACTGCACACACCATGCGCCACCAGTGAAGCCACCATCCGGGTGGACCAGGCAGGATGGCAAACAGTAATGCCTGTCACTTCTTTCTTCCCTTCACCTTCCCCAAGTGCTTGTCGTTTAGTGCATGCCTGCCACGGTGCTCTAAGCTTTCATGTGGTGATGAAATGATTAAACATGCAACGCACACAGAACCGCTCCACACATGATGGCAAATCGTCACCCATTCTGCGTGTCCCAGCAGTGATGTCAGAAACAGTTTTAGTATGTGAGCGACAGTAGTGAACCTAGGACAAATTCTCACTAACGGGACAGATGAGGAAATGTCTCCCTAAGAGGTAGATTGAATTAAGGGCGTGGGAAGAGACTCATTTCTTAAGCTGTGATGTGCATTTCTTAAGCTGTGAATCACAGGAATCTGTTAAACGCAGCCTTTAATTGAGATGTGTGTGGGGGGGGCCCTTGGTCTCCAATTTCTAAAACCGTCCTGGTGATTTGGGTGCTGCCAGCGTGGCAGCTGCACTTCAAGGAGCAGGTCTCGGAGGAAAGAGTGGGGAAGGACTTCACGGGGCACTGTGGAGGGCGGAGCGGTGGCAGACCTGTCCCACAGCCCTGGGGGAGTGCCCACGCCGGGGTGTGCTGGTGTAGCTGGCCCTCAGCAGGCACCTGACGGGTGTGTTCCCCGGAGCCCACACGTGAGGGCATGTGTTACATCTCTGCAAAGAGGCTCTGTGTTCAAAACAATGTTTCCCTCAATCTGACTGATCAAATGAGCTCCAATCTTGATTTTTCCTTACTGCTAAACATTTCTACAGTCCCTTGGGCTCACTCCAGCTGCTGTCCCTTGTAATACAACAGCATCCATACGCAGGCTACAGATGCTAAGAGAGAGGATCTGTCTGGCACATAAACACAACTGAGCAAAACTACTTCTAAAAATAAAGGACAAGGCACAATCTCAAAAGTAGTCAGTGCAGAGCAGATGCCTGCATGCTTACAGCCACCGTCACCTTTAAGTAAAACAGAACAGTGAGGATCCTCATGCCAGCCAAGTGTGGCCCATCTGCTGTGGGCAGCAGATTTCAGGGGCGCCAAAGCCAAGCTACAGTCTATGACACAACCCACAAGTGCCTCTTTGCAGCCCACAGGCTCTCGAGAAGCCCAAGAGAGGCGCCTCTAGGCAGAGCTGTGTGCTGGGCGTAGCTGCCCGCCCCCAAACATGGGCCCAGCCCCATTCTACTGCCCTCACAGACATGCACACGCTCTGCCTCCTTTCCTCACTAAATCTGTGATTTTTAAATTAGGCTCAGAAACATTATGATTCACCACAAGCATAACACATGGGAGAGGCATTCTGAACAGCGACATTCTGATCCAAACACGACCTCACTCGCTAGTCAACCAGTCCTTTTATCTCTCTGTGAGTAGCTTGCTGGGGTTGAAAAAAGTACAATAGAAGTTAAATGTCTTTCTATGTTGATAGATAGTAACTAGAGTAGTTGGGGTGAGGATTTAATAATGTATATAGCTGTCGAATCACTGTGTTGTACCCTTGAAACCTATGTAACATTGTGTATCAATGATACTTCAGTAAAAACACATAAAAAAAAAAAAAAGAAAGAAATTAAACTGTTGGCCACGACGCTCTAGCTGTCAATGTCTCCTGCAGGCATGGCCTGCCTGCGACAGGATGGCTGTCTGGGCAGCCCCCGGAGCAGAGCGACCTTACCCAGGAGGGGCGACTTCCTCCAGTGACCGTCCCTCACTTCGATGTAGTCGTACCAGCACAAGCTGCTTTTGTACAGGTCCATCGTGGTGAAATTTAAAACAATCTGCCAAATGAAACAAAAATGACCACAGTGATATTGACGGCACATACTGGTGTGCTGTGAGGAGAGGTCATAGCTGATGCTGGCTTTTTCTACGTGAGTATCCCCTCGTACATTTTCTTAACAAACACCCATTTTCTCATTCTCATTAATGTTTAACAATATGGAAGCCTAACAGCAATAGTTACACAAACTAAATTGATCAGCAATTATATCAAAGTTCCTGTAAAGTTAATTTAAACAACTGTGAAACAAACAGAAATCTTTAGTCAAACAGTTTATTTTGAATTTTCTGAGATAGACATGACTTAAACCATGAAAAATTATGATTTTGCCATGAATGTCTTTTTTAAATAATTTATTTCAAAGACAACCAGACATCTATAATTATGTTAAAAATAACCACCATGTGCTATATTCCAAGAACATAATATCATTGTGTATGTTGAAATGTTGTAAATACAGCTCTAGAATTTGAACTTGTCCATGTAACTATAATCGAAGGCAGATGTCACTGTGCTTGCCTACATCTAAGAATATATAGTCAAAGACCTTTCAAGTTAGAAGACCTGGCATGTGACCCTTTATTCTGTATTTTGTTTTGAAATGATACTGCTTTTTGTTAAGAGCAACTCTAGGAAAGGCAATATATTTACTGTTTTATAAGACATAACTTTTCAAATAATTACTTTTTGTTTTAGTTGACTACACCGAAAATGAAATAAACTGAGAAATGCACCTATCTGAAGTAAAATTCATTTGGAAAGTACTTTTTATATTCCAAAAATCATTTGAATTCTATTCTGTTTAAAACATCTAAGGTGCTTAACCTTTACAGTTATCCTCTTCTTTACTCTAGAAACTGAAAGGGGTTTTGGCCAAAAGCAAAAAGTTATGAATTTGTTTATATTTATATTATATTTATGTAATATTATATTATATTATATATTACATATATGTAAATATATATAATATATTTTAAATGCTTCTAATATAAAACTATAATTTGTAGCAATATTTTAAGAATCCTTTCATAACCATATGGAAATCTAAGTGTAAAAGAACTATGAAGGACTTATTTCTTTTTAAAAAGAAAAAGAAAAAATATAATCAATCCTGAATCCATACTCCAGAAAAGTACTAGCATTTTTGTGTTGCAAAATTTCTTCCCTTTCTTGAGCACTAAGTTAAACAGAAAGGTATGTACTAATTATGGCAAATCTTTCCTAAACTAGCACACTTTCTTCTGGGAATGAAGATACAACAATAAATATTTCTCATGTCATCTTATGTCTCAGCACCACCACAATGATCACTGATGAAATTGTACACCAAAGTTGGCTATAATTGCCCATATAAATAATTATTTTAGAGATATAAAATAAGAATTTATCTAACTCTAATGAAAGTAAACTGTACTTTATAATGGTATTTCACCATAAAATTCAACATTTTTCAGATTCTTTAAATATGTACTTTCTTAATTACAAAGAAATGAAATCTACCAAGGTTATCAAAATAGTGACTTTTTTTAAATGTAACAGTAAGTGTGGCATAATTTGGTTTTAATAAAAGTATTTGTTTATTTTTGTCTACCTTATTTATAGTTCTTTTTCTTTTCCTTCACCTAATTTTATCATTCCAAATATTCTAGAAAATACAAAAATTTCCAAAATATCCAAGGACAAAGGGGTGATCACTTTTTTCTTTCTTTTTCAATAATCCTCAGAACATGTTTATCAAAATGTATAGTTTCTAAACTATTTTTCTAAAATTCCCATAATATTTTCTCCCCCTTCTCTGAGCACCAATGCAAAATTATGTTATTCTTAGGCCCTAATTAGGAAATAATTTGTTTCTTCCCCCTTAACTTTGTATTTACTTTGTAAAGTACGAGTGGGGAGTTCTACCTCTGCCTGATATTAAGATACACTCTGCATTTATATTCCCCCTAAAGCAACTGCCAGGATTTCAACTCTGAATGATCATACAAAAAAACCCTCATTTATTAGAGTAGAAATGGCAAAACTAGAACACAGACACAAACAGTAGACCCCAGGGATCATTTTGAAGCTTCCTTTTGGGATGTGAAGGGGAGTTTTATAATGGAATGCAAATAGTCTCAACTTCCTCTCTTATGAGGGGGAAAAAAATCAACTAAATTGGATGTACGTATATTATCGAAGCTTAGTTAAAATTGAAACAATGTGTTTGGATTGCTAAGAAATAGTTAATATTTAAAGTTCACACACACACACAGTTGTAAGGGGATAACTCTAAACAGAAAAGTTCCCTATCTTGTTTTTAATCTTTTATTTTAAATGCCAAGCACCATGGAGGAACAAAACTGGCCTACTTTAATATAAAACACAGAGTCCTTTAGAAGCAGAAAATGTAATAAAGATAGGTTTTCTAAAATCAAATCTTAGCGCTCAGATGTAACAGTAAACTGCTGGCCTTTGGCTAAGGTTGTTAGCAGGATCCGTAGTTGAATTATAAATCAAAAACACTTGGAAAATATTTGGTTTGTTTTATATTATGCTATTTTATGTAAATATGATGTCTCTTTTGTCAGAGTGACATGAAATAAAAACTACCTAGCATAGTATTATGTAAATGTTTTGTCTCTTACGGTAATGATCAGTTTACCATGTATTAATTTAAAAACGATCACAGCTCCCTTGGAACATGGGGTTGAAGGACATACCAGACACAAATACAGGACCTGTGAGGTGTGCAAAGCCCCAGCTGCTATTCTGTAAAGCTAAACTGATGCAATTGCTGTGAGCTGCCATATTAGAACATTGCTCCACAATGCTACGAAGTAAAGAACCTTGAAGAAAAGCGGATCAGCAGTCAAGGGGCTGGATGTCTGCAAGTCCCAGGAAAAGATGTAATCGCTGAATCTGTCAGAACAACTAACACGACTGGCCACCTAACCAGTTCCACCCAGCACCACAGCAAAACGAATTAAGGTGTTAGGGTGACATTTATACCTTATAGTGCTGAGGATGGTGAAGATACAAATCTTGTCAATTAGACTGATATTATTAAATGGCTCTTTAAAAAGGGATATCAGAATTAAAAACCATCAAATAAAATAGATGTCCAAGCTCTAGCCAGAAGCTTGGGCAACCCTAATAAACTCTCTAGGGAGACTGCAGTTTTCTTCTCAGAAATAAGACCGGTGGCAAGAAGATCAGGGATCAGTAAGCAGTACCTATGGGCCAAATCCAGCCCTCAGCCAGTTTTTGTAAAGAAAATTTTGTTGGAACCCTTCCTTCACATATTGTCTGTGGCTGCTTTTGTGATACAATGGTAGAATTGAGTATTTGAAACAAACCGTATGGCCTGCAAAGCCAAAAATATTAATGTTATATCCTTTCCAGAGAAATTTGCCAACTCCTGGAATAATTGATAATTAAATTTCTGTGCAGCTCTTAAGGGGAAAACGTACAACTTTTCCTATAACTAGAAGCTGTTTGTGATTGAGTCCAAAAGTCAGAGTTCGAGTTCTAGCTTCTCAGCTCGCTGGTTTACTTAAACTTTCTGAGCTTCTTACTTTAAAGGAGGTCATCAAATCAGGCTGATCTCAGCAGATTTAAATCAGGATTCAACTGGATAATGTGTAGAAAAACACTTAAGTAATCTGAAAGCATTGTTAAGATTCCCATCCTGTGCATTCAGGCATCCCTCGCAATACCTAAAAACAGCTATAAAATAAATAAAAGTTTTAATCCAGTTTACTTAATCCAACACTGCTGGGAAACATAAAAACATCCACTTAATTTTAAAGTAGCACAGGAAAACCAGCGAAGGTAAGGAACTCCTTATGTTGTACACCTGACAATATCCAAGGACAAAGGGTTGATCACTTTTTTCTTTCTTTTTCAATAATCCTCAAATTATAATATTATGTCAACTACATTTTTAAAAAAGTAAGGGGTTTTACTATACAATCTAAAGGGCAGACAGGAGAACCTGGCACCTTGGTTCGAGCCCCCACTTTACAACAGACAAGTCATGTGCCTCAGGTAGATCCCTAATTCCATCAGGGATTAGTTATGACAGGTGATAAACAGGAGATGGAGTATGCTATGAAAATACGTTTTCTGAGTAAAGTTATATGATAATATCTTGATTTTAAAATTTTGATTTGCCATTGCCAACTACCCCCAGGAACACTCCTGTACTCCCTTTCCTTAACCCTCCCTCCACCTGTACCCAGTCAGCCCCCAGCCTGTAGAGGTGAATGTCCATCACGCCTGAAAGTGTCTCCTCTGCGGTTCCCACCGTCGGCACACCCCGCGTTGCCAGGACAGCTGCCTGGATGGCTTAGTAGGACATGCTGGCTCCCAGTCTCACTCTCCTCCACCCCAGCTTTCCCTCCCCTGCCACTTTAATCCCAGGAGAGCCAGTCTCCCATGTGCATCAGTAGCTTGGAGCCCCTCAATGTAAGCGACTAAGCCTCGGCCCACCTTTGCTGCCTCACCCTTCACTGTCTCAGGTTCTTCCTTCTCCCCCCTGGCTCCCTGCTGCCCTGCCCTCACAATGGGCCCCCATTTCAGCATTCCTGGATTCAAGGCGGAGGTGCCTCACCTGGCACTCCACTTCCCCTTCCCTGTTTTTGAAACTGCATCTCCCAGGCCTTCATCACTACCCTCTCCATCGAGCCTGGATCTCTCAACAAGATCTGAGCTCCCTTACGCCCACAGACCCACGGCAAGCTGCATCTTGCTTTGCTGGGTGATTTTTTGGCTTGGCTATTATATTGCTGGGCCTTGCCCTTGCTGTAGGCCTGTGAGATTCTTAATAACAAAGATTTCTTTCACACACCAGGAGATACATTTATTGTAATGGAATCAAAGGTTTAGCTATATAATAACTGCTAAATTTAAGCAGACTCTTTGGCAACCTAAACAATATGTTATGAATTGGCCCACATGTGTAAATCATACATGAGTGATTAAAAAGAAATTTTTGCAAAATGATAACAAGGGATA